GGATTCTGGAACAGGGCGCCCGTTCCACCCAGGCCTCCCTGAGGTCCGGCCTCATGACAGCCAGGGTCATTTTGTGCTACTCTTGTTTTCAGAACCATCTAGTGGCTTCTCACTTCACTCAGCACGAAGTCCACTTCCTCCCTCAGCCTGTGGCCCTGACACCCTCTGACCTCTCCCTGCTGTCCCTGGGCTCCAGCCACCCCACCTCCTTTCCATTCCCAAACCTGCACCTGTCTCCAGGCTCTGCACTCACTGAGACTGCCCAGCTTGCCTTCCCGGGGTGGCCAGGTCAGGGAACCCTTCCTGCCCACCCAGCCCTCACAGTGGAATGGAAGCTCCTGGGGGCAGGGATGTGTGGTTAGTTCGCATTTGAGGTTTCCCCTGGTGCCTAGCACAGGGCCTGGCGTGCTGTCCAGTACATGATTGAGTGACCCCACTCAGAAATGTTCAGGAGGCAGCCAGTCCAAGAGCTAAGGCAGCAGGAGCACCCCTGTGGGGGTGGCATGGTGTTCCGTGGGACCCAGTCTGGGAAACGCTGCAAGATGCTGTGCTTCATGAGGTCTGTCCCTAAGGATGTGTTGCTCTTCCTCTTTTACTGTGCAGTTACTGGCATCCCTGTGTGCTTTTATTCTGCCACTTAGGCGCCTCTGTCCTTTGAGAACTGGCCTGCGTTCTCCCTCTCCCCTGGCCTCCCCTGGGCTGTCCTGTGGGCAGGCCTCCCCCTGGGGAGGGCCATTACCTCTTTGAGATGCAGCCTCCGTTCCACCTGCTCCATCGGAGTCAGGTGCAAGTCCTGTGTGGGGTGTGGAGAGCAGGGGGGTGGTAACTGGGTGCGGTTACACGGCTGTGCTCAGATTATGAAAACCCACTGAGCTGTACACTTAGGATTTGTGTGCTTTTTTGGATGCATGTGATCCTTTGATAAAAAGTTGTCCTTTTATTGGATGAGAGCAAGCAAAGAACTTGGCCCAGATGACGCCTCAGCAGGGAGCAGTGCGAGCATCCTGCCAGCACTCCTCAGCAACCCCAGAAGTGACAAGAAGTGGCTCTGCCTGCAGGCGAGTGTACCTTGCCAGGCCAGGCCGGAGCTCTGTGGGCAGGCACTGGAGTGGGGTGAGGCTCAGGGCCTGCCAGGCGGAGGGAGGAGGGCATGCAGGGGGCCAGTGTGCAGGAAGGGAATGGTGGCTAGATGCAGAGGACGTGCGGACTCAGGCTGAGCCTGGGCTGCGAGAGGAAGTCCCATTGCATTCTGTGGGCCCCTGGGGTCCTAAGAAGGCTGCCACAGGGGGGCTGCAGGAGGGAGAACTGTGGGCAGCCCCCCAGCCAGGCGGAGGGCCGCCCAGAGACATGTAGGGGACGGCGGAGCCTGAGGATGGAGGGGAGAGAAGGGCATGGCCTGGCTGTCGGATGGCCTCTCTTCGTCCTCCCCCTCCCCTGCCTGCCTCTTTCTCGGGGCTTTCTCTGCCCGCCCTCTCTTGCTGTCTCCCCATCATGTCACCCCAATTCTTTCTTCCCTGGCCCATCACAGCCTTCTGTGTCTTCCCGTTGTTCTGCTTGTCCCCAGCACACTGCCCCAAAAGTTAATGGCTTCAGACGGTAAATTATTGCTTCCCCTCGGATGTAGGCAGTGTGTGCGTGGATAGCCTCTCTGTGTGCCTCCCTCTACCTCCACGTGGCCCCTGCACACCCCACTGTGCAGGCTCTGATGGGAACCCAGAGACCACGTTCGGCCTGCCATCAAGTTGTTTCTGCCATGTGTTGTTGGACAGAGAAGTCACAGATCAGATTCCAGGAGGGGGACAGACCTGGTGTCTCAGTGGGGCCATATGTAGTACGTGCCCACATGCTACGGAGGACGCGTGTTCTTCCCTCCACCTAGCACCTGCCTCTCCCTCCGCTCTCTGGAGCCCCCGTCATCCGTCCTCCATGGAATGGGGCAGGGCTGGGCCTAGAGCAGCACTTCCCAAAGGGAACCCCAGGTCATGGGATGAAGTAGGTGCAATGTGTAACAAAGGGGATTTCATGGCCAAACAAGGGTGGAGTAAACAAGCTGACCAAACAGGTGTGTGCACTACCCGGAGGGGAAGGCCCAGGCACACTGGACATCTAGCACCCTTCAGAGCCCAGAGCAGGGGCAGGCGCTGCAGCTTCGTGCGTGGCTGCCCAGGGGATGGGGAAGTGGTGGGGGCTCCCTCCGACCTCACCTGTGCATCTGTGGCTTGGCGCTCGGAAGGGACTCCGGGTTTTTTTTTTTTTTTTTTTTTATGATAGAGAGAGGGAGAGAGGCAGAGACACAGGCAGAGGGAGAAGCAGGCTCCATGTAGGGAGCCCGATGTGGGATTCGATCCTGGGTCTCCAGGCACCAAACCGCTGCACCACCCAGGGATCCGGGACTCCGGGTTTTATATGCTGTTCTGTTTTATGTTGGTGACTATTGTGCGGGGGTGTGCCAAGCCTCAGCGACATCTCAGCCCCCTGTCCTCCGCAGGGACTGGTTTGGTAGCGTGGTCACTAAAAGCTTGTAGAATAAATTGCACGACCCCTCCCTGACACACTTGCTCCCCACTGAGCCTCCCGCGCTGGCCCCTCGTCCCTCAGCCGCCTCCTCTCCTGGCCGTGCCCTGCCACAGGGCTGCCTCCTCCGGCACAGTGCTCCTTTTATTTCTTGATAGCATCTGTCCTCACCTGAAACTAGCCTTCAAAAGCCTTATGTTTCCTGCCTGGCCGATCCAGTCCCCTGCGCAGGCTGGGTGCTCCCCGAGGCTCCCCGGGCCTGCTGTCTGCAGCCTGATGAGCGGAGCCCGGGTTCCCTCGCACGCGGCCAAGGAGGGAGCACTTTGCTAATAGGTCTCTTAGGACAGATGCCTGTTCTCTCTTGAAATGCTACAGATGGACAGATGGCCCTGCTGTGAGGCTGGGAGCGCGTGGCCACTCGTGTGCCTGTGCGCTCCATGTAAGGGAGAAGTTTGGAGCAGCCCGAGTCAGGCCCAGGCTGGGAGGGAGGTGGGAAGCGCCCGGTCTCTGGCAGTGTGCCAGAGCAGCTTCAGGCCTCCCCAACTCCGAAAGCGCTGGACGTTATTTTGAGGGCCACGCAGCAGGCAAGGCAGATGGTGGGGCTCCCGAGGGTGGGTGGTGACGCAGAGCTAGTAGCCACGCTCTAGAGAGAAGCTGCCGCACCTCCCTCTGCTGTTCCCCGTGTCCCCTGGCCTCCCATCAGCTGAAGGCCTCGACCCGGGAGCTCGCTGCTGGCCACCCGGTGGCCCTCCCTCCTCACAGGCTGGTTCATCATTCACCCAGCCAGCCAGCCAGCAGCTGGGGCCCGGAGCCCCCGGCCGCCTTGACAGGGTGGAGAGAGCAAGGTGAGTCCCTCTGCCCACGTGCCCGGGAGCGCCTGGCGGCCGGACTGGCAGTTGTGTGGTGTCAGCATGACGACAGGAAGCCCCGGGACTGCGTTCACCGTAGCCAGGAGGAGGAAGCACAGAGCGGCAGAGGCGTGTCAGCCGTGAGTGTCCGCCGGTGACTGCTCTGGGTCCAGTTGAGGCAGACCAGGAAGGCAGAGCCCAAGACCAGGGATGTAACCGGGACCAAGAGGCCCAGGGCAAATGGACAGCGTCAGTCGCTAGGGGGAGGACAGCCGACCCCAGGGTCGGTCCTGAGCAGCACTGCTGCTGACCAGGGGCTGGACCCTGCAGACAGCTGTGCCAAAGCGAGGCGGGCAGGGCCACGGACCTTCTTGCCCGCCAGTCCCCATTTCCTGCAGTGACACAGCCGCTCTGTGACGTCAGCCTTGCCTTCAGCCTGTCCCATGTGTATGAAAAGCAGAGTGGGAGGCAAAGGCTCAGAGTGTGTGGGGAGGCCCACCACTCGCCCCCGAGCCGTCCACGCCCTCGATGGAGCTCCCAGGGGTGTCACGTGCTGCCTGCTGTGTACCTCTCCCACAGCGCCCACCACGGTGATAGCATACCTTGGTTTTATTTCTATGATTTTTTAAAATATTTTATTTACTTATTTTAGTAGGAGGGGGAACACATGAGGGGAACACGTGAGGGGGCAGACGGAGAGGGAGAGACTGTGCTAAGCAGAGTCTACTGAGCATGGAGCCCAGCGCGGGGCTGGATCCCACGACCCTGAGATCATGACCTGAGCTGAAATCAAGTGTCGGACACTTAAACGGCACCACCCAGGTGCCCCATTTCTGTAATTTTTAAAAAATTTTTTTCTTATTTATTCATGAGAAGCACAGAGAGAGAGAGGGAGGCAGAGACACAGGCAGAGGGAGAAGCAGGCTCCATGCAGGGAGCCCAATGCGGGACTTGATCCCAGGACTCTGGATCACACCCTGGGCCAAAGGCAGGCGCTAAACCACTGAGCCACCCGGGCTGCCCCCTCTAATTTTTTTTAATTAAAGTTTTTATCTTGAAAAAACTCGAAGCCAACAGAAACCCTGCAGGTGTATTTCAGTAAAGCCTAATAGATGCTTCATCCAGATTCAGCCGCTGTTCACACTCTGCCGTGTGCGTCTCTGTGTGAGCATGAAGCTGTGAGCCTGAGGCTGCGTACGCACGCGTGAGACCCCCCCCCAAGGCCCGGCCCTGAGGCCCGTGTTCTCCAGAGCTGGCCTTGCCATTGGGCGTCACCTGCCATCAGGTGATGATGTCCCCATCGGGGACGGTGTGAACACGGTGCTCTTCCATTGCTGTCCTTTCCCGCCGCCTGCCCGTCCCAGCCCAGGACCCCATGTGCACCTCTTGCACCTCCTGTCATCTGGCCCATCTCGGCCTCTCTGTCCCTCAGGACATGCTGTCGCTGACGAGCTGGGCTTCCTGGTTTGATGGGAGGTCCCTCAGGCTGGGTTTGCCAGACATGGCAGGCCGCGCTCAGAGGGCAGGACGAGGTCCACTCTGCTTCTCCCTGGGGCTCCAAACCTTCTGTCCTTGCTCTCTCCAAAAATAACATGCCCCCCACCTCCTCCCCTGAGGAAAGTCTCTTCCTGTTTGCAGCCTGCTGGGGTCACACTGGTCAGCGTCCACTCCAGTCCCAACGACCAGATGCTGTGGGCGCTCGATAGCAGGTGGAACGTGCACGTCCGAGCTGGAATCACCGAAGAGATGCCAGTGGGGACCGACTGGGAGCACGTGCCAGGTAGAAACGTGAGCGTGGCGTGGCTGCCCCTCCCCTGGGCACCTGGTCCGTCAGGCAGCCTGTCCTACTGAGGCAGGTGACAACAGGTGTCTAACGGAATATTCCTTGTTTGAGGGACCCAGCATTGCAGGACTGCAGCCAGCTCTATGCCCTTGGAGTTCTTTGTGGGATGATTGTTCCCAGATGGCCCGGACCCGTGTGCCCTGTGGCCTTGGGTCCTTGGTGGTGTGGCTCGCACTGCCGGTGGGGCACCCTTTCCCTCGGCCCCCACTCCGAGTCCTGCGTGCAGGGCACGGCCAGCAAGGGGCCTTCCTGGTCGACAGGGCCCAGTGGTGTGAGAGAGCGGCCTCGTGGGAGGGGGTGGCCTGTCCTCTCCGCAGCCGGGGCTGAGGACAGACGGACACCCTGTTCACGTGCAGGGTTGCAGGCCTGCCAGCTGGCACTGAGCACCAGGACCGTGTGGGCCCGCTGCCCCAATGGTGATCTTGCCCGGCGGTACGGCGTCACCGACAAGAACCCTGCGGGAGACTATTGGAAGAAAATACCCGGCAACGTGACGTGTTTCACAGGCAAGTGCCAGGGCTCCGCAGGGCTCGGGGCTGCACGGCTCTCATCGGGTTCAGGGCTCCCCTGGGCGAGGTCAGTGGGGCCTCCACAGGAGGCTGCTCCCACGGGGCTTGCTCTCCAGATCGCTGAGGTCACACCCGAGGGAGGGCATCCCGCACCCCACTGGCCAGAGTGTCCCAGGAGCGGGGCCACCCACTTTAGAGCCAGAGGAGCTGGGACACAGATTGAGGGTGGCGGATCCGGAGCCCAGAGCTAGAAAGTGCCGCGTCGGGATGTGGAGCCAGCCCTGACCCCACTTGTGCCCGCTGCCCGGGCTGGGTGACTAACGATCGTGCGGCCGGCTCTCGTCCCTGCAGTGACCTCGTCCGATGAGCTGTGGGCAGTGGGCCCCCCTGGCTACCTCCTCCAGCGGCTGACGAGGACTTTCAGCCACTCGCACGGCGCCCCGAGCAGCCACGCCACCACCCCCCACCCCGAGGACCTGGAGGACGAGTGGGAGGTCATCTGAAGGAGCCTGGGGGCAGGGCTGCTCAGGAGGGAGGAGGCCGGGACGGTGGCGGACACAGTGGTTTCGGAGTCGCTCGCTCTCGGCCACGCCTCATCAGCCCTCGTCCAGACATGCCGGGCCGGCTCGGACAACCACACTTGCTTTCATCCATGTTTGTTTCCGTCTGTTCCAGAACCCACAGCCTCGGCCGAGTGATGTGGAGCCGTTGCCAGAGCGGCAGTGCCTCTGAGCTCCTGCGAGGCCGCGTCCCCTGGCGCTCCAGGCCCGCCATGGGGACAACCCGGGGGTCAGTGCTCCCTGCCACTGACGGGGGTCCTGGGCCAGCTTGTGGTCATCACAGGGACACGAGTTCTGGCACACATTCCGTGCTGGACCCCCCAGTGGGGAAACCAAGGCCGTGTCGGAGAGTGGGGCGCCGGTCTGTGCCAGGCTGCAGCACCCGCGCTCACTCACACCACAACATGCACGCCCACACCACGCACGCCCTCCCGGCCCACGCACAGGGCACAGCACACTCGCCTCTTGGAGAACACACTTCAGCCAAAACAATAAAGGCCAGTGGATGACATGGATGTGAAGGGTGCACGTGTTCCCAAGGCAGCGGTGGCCCTGGGCGGTGTGGCCGAGGTGGGGGAGCTCGGCCACGGTGGCTGACTCAGCAGTGTCTTTAGAGCGATGTTAATGCTGCTGGTGGACGTCGTAAAGACCGGAAGCATCCTCACAGGATGAGTCTACTAATTATTGCCTTTTTTGTTTGTTATATTACAAACCTGCATAAGATACCTCATTTGAAATCAACTCTTACAAATTTAGAGGAGAAATGTATTTTCGGAAACCAGTGGAAGGCCTTTCGTTCCTTCGCATGGTTTACCCTGCGCCGGCGCTGTCCTCAGCCGCAGCTTCACGGAGCGTGGGCGTCCCCCCGCGTGTCCTCCACGTGCGGGGCAGTCGTGGCACCTGCCGGCTGGCCCCGAGTGGCCACCGGTGCCGTTAGCAGGCATTGGGTTGATGCCCCCAGGAGGTTCGAACCGAGCCCGCTGTGGCCACGCCGGACGCCGGTCCCTGGGGTCGGCCTGCGGTGCCCACTGTCCCCGCAGGCATCTGGGCCCGAGGCTCGGCAGCCCGGCCCGCGTCCCGCCTGAGCGCACCGCCCCCCCCTCCTGGAGGCAGCTCCCAAGTGGGACTCGGCCTCGCTGCTTTTTTTAGCCTGTCCTTGGTCCAGGGCCCAGTGACGCGACGCCTGTTTTCTACTAAGCAAACGTGTCCAGGAGCCCCCGGGCCGCAGGTGGAGAGCGATACGGCGTGTTCCCTGCCGGGACCCGGCCGCGGAGACGGAGGTGCCCCAGGCCCAAAGGAGGACAAGACGCTGGAACCCCAGGCCCTGCTTCACACTCCACGCTTAGAGAACCTTGTTCTAGAAGGCCGGCGAGCGCAGAGGCCGGCCCCGGCTGCGGCGGCTCCTCCGGACGTTGTGCCTTGCGGCCCCTGGACGGCAGAGCCCTCCTAAACCCACGGGACTTTAGTGCAATTAAACCCAAGTCTAGTTTGATACTTTTAAACTACTTTTAGCTTCAGTGCTTTGTACGGTTTTTCTTTCCGGTTTTAATTTTTAGTTGTGCTTTGAGACAGTGCAATAAACTAGACTTTTTCCAAACCTGGTCGAGTCTGGTGTTCGGGCTGTGAGAAGGGGCCCCGCGCAGCCTCGGCGGTGGCGTGCCCGCCTGTGCCCGACGGATCTGCGGTGGCGCTCGGCGGCCCGGAGGCTGGGGGGCGCGATGGCCCGGCCCGCGTGGGGTTTCCGCACCGGCTCACCCAGGACGGCTGTCCCCGGGGAGCGGTCGCTCCGCAGGCCCCCGAGGCCGGGCCGCTGTGGGCGGGCCTGGGGGGGTCGAGGCCCTGAGCCCAGGACTCCGCCACCAAGAAACGAAACCAAAGGCCACCAGTGCCCTAGTGGAAAGCACCCTGCAGGGAGGGATCAGGGCCTCGGCCGCGGGACGCGTCGTGTGCCACGGAGGCCTGAGCGAGAGACGTCTGCCCCGTGTCAGGGAATGTCCCGCTTCACCGAAGACATCGAGGCACACTCGAATTACGACGTCCAACGTCCCCCAGGAAAGACGAAGGACGCTGCGAAGACCTCAGTCCTTTCCAAAGGCTCTAACTCAGTTTGGGGGGAGCCTCACTGGGATGTTGGTCTGTGTCGGGGGAGGTCCCACAATGATGCTCGTGCCCACAGGTGCCCCCCGACTGCCAGACGTGGGCCTGGGGCTCCTGCACAGCTTCGGGTCCCCCTCGAGCCCCTGCGGGAAGCACTGTGAGCCTCAGTGACACTCAGAGAGGTTCCGTACTTGCTGGAGGCCACGCACGGGCCATTGGGACTGGAGCCCAGCTCTGCAGAACTCCAGGCCAGCCTGCGTGACGCCACCTCACTGTCCTGGGAAGAAACAGGTGGGAATTGCCAAGGGTGCTGACGGCAGCAGGCGAATTAAAGGATGGCGTGGGAGGGAGGGCCAGGGATGGCAGGCGGCCCGACCGGACCCGCGGGAGCTGACATGAAGGCACATCGGGACAGGCGGGTGAGGTCACAATTGATGTGCATGCACCACCCCTTCATTATCTGGGCAAACCTATTAAATGGATTAAAGTGTCTTAAAACCATGGGAGCCTGGGGGACTCCATCGGTTAAGCGTCTGACTCTTGATCTCAGCTCAGGTCTTATCTCAGGGTCACAAGTTCAATGCTCACGTTGGACTCAAATTGGGCGTGGAGCCGGCTTTAAAAAAACTTAAAAAAAAGGGGGAATGATATCTGATTTCCGGATGGCAAAGGATTTTAGACTCAAAAGTGACAGGAGAACCACAGAGGAAATTACAGATTTGATTTCCTCAAAATCTTAAAATTCTACAAAATTTAAACCCCACTTAAAAGGGGAAATTGTGACATCATGGATGGTGACTATATACCTTAAGAAATGTGCACACACCAGGGGCACCCGGGTAGCTCAGTGTTGAGCGTGTGCCTTTGGCTCAGGGCATGATCCTGGGGTCTTGGGATCGAGTCCTGCACCGGGCTCCCCGCGAGGAGCCTGCTTCTCCTATGTCCTGTCTCTCAGGAATAAATCTTTAAAAAAAAAAAAAAAGTGTACACAGCAGTCGGAGGAACACCTAAGGCACTCGTATGGACAGAGATGAAAGAGCAAATGCCTGGCACCCAGGTGGGGCGCGGACAGAGCAGGGGGAGCGATCGTAAAGCCCGCAAACCCACAAACTCCACTTCTGGAAACCTGTCCTCAAGAACAAACCCTAAATCGGGGGAAGACGTATAGTGCAGGCGGTTTTGTGATTGTAAAATATCGGCCCGTGGCCTCGAAGAACAGCCCCTGCGCAGCTGTCACAGAGCAGGTGTCCTGGGGGACGGCCCGGCTGCAGCGCGGCGGTGCCAACTGTCCGCAGCGCGTCACGACGTGGTCTGGTGGGAGACCAGAGACCACGCAGAGCGGGAGAAAGGAGAGACGGGGATATCGGGCCCGGGTACGCGCACCCTCCTAACTTTTGGGGGGTTCGAAATGGTCCGTCATTCCAGCTGCGCAGAAAGGGCGTAAGAACCAAGGTCACCCTGCAGCTGGTCGCGGCGGTTCCCTGGGCCATATATATCTTTTTGTATCTTTTGAATTTCAAGCCATGTAAATGTATATTATTTCAAAATAAAATCCACATTTTAAAAACGGGGCTCCCTAACCTGAACTCCTCACACCGTCAACACTAGGGAGTCAAAAAATAAAAATAAATAAATAAAATAAATAAATAAAACACTAGGGAGTCAGATATGGCAAAGTAAACACCAAAGACTTCTGAGAAGTCTTATTTACAAAGCATTTTTACAATACAGGAAAATGCTTATCGTAAGTTTAAAAATACTCAATTATTTAAGTGATCTGATGTTGTGTGTGTAAAAAATAGGCATGGGGGAATGTTTGAAGACATCTACGGATGTGCATAGAAAAAACTGGAAGAAAATACACCAAAACGCTGGCTGCGGCTGTCTGGCTGGTGGGATGGTGGCAGGTGGCCGGCTCCTGCCCTCGGGAGTCCCACGGCTGGAGGAAGCCCCGCCGCAGCCTGCCCTGGATTTCTCTGCAGTTCCCGTTCCACCAGAAGCATGAATTCTATAAGCAGAAACTCTTTTTAAAAATCCCTGAAGACAGGGCTCCTGGTGGCTCAGTCCGTTGGGCGTCTGCCTTCGGCTCAGGTCAGGACCTCAGGGTCCTGGGATCGAGCCTGCTTCACCCTCTCCCTCTGCCCCCGCCCGCTCTCTCGCTCTCTCTAATGCTTTCTCAAAGGAAATCTTTTTTTAAAAAAATAAAAGTCACTGAAGACACAGATACCTGTCCTCACCTCTATCTTGACTGTGGTGGTGGTTACACGTGTGTAGACATTTGTCAAAACTCCTCAGACTAAACATTTAAAGTCTGAGCATCTCAGGGCGCCTGGCTGGGGAGAGCATGCGATTCTTGATCTTGGGGTCGGGAGTTCAAGCCCCACACTGGGTGTGAGGCCTTTATAAAAAGGATTCTTTCCATCTTTAAAAATATCTAGAGGCTGTGCCTCTATCATATGTAAGTCGTGCCTCCGTTTAAAAAATGTAACGGCACGAAGCAGAGCGGGCCACGCTGGGGCAGCAGGGTCTCCGTCCCCTGAACAGGTGACAGGTGCCAACAGCGCACGGCCTCCCCGACCGCACTGCTCTCCCTCCATCCGGGCCCCGGAAGCATCCTCGTCCTGAGCAGGACTGGCGGTACTTGGGGCAACTGCTCTCCTCGGTGGCGCGGCTTCAAGCTGGTGAAGCAATCGGAGGCAGGGAAATCAGAGTCCTCCGCATCAAGGCAATAATCAGGCTGAAGTCCGCGTGGGCGAGGCGCTCACGCTGAGTCATGTCCCGCAGCCAAGGAGGGGCAGATCGAGGTCCTTCCTCCCCTGCCCTCACGGTCACCTCCCCCAGGCCACCCGACACTGCCCCCTCCGGTTCCCGGCCCGAGGCGCGACCCCAGCCTCCTCCGTCCTCCCCAGCAGGCATCTGGAGGAAGGGGATTCTGGCCCCTGGGCGCGAACAGCCCGGGACTCCCTGGGCCGCACGGTGGCCGTGGGGGGGCAGGACTGGCCGCCGTCAGGTTTTCCTTAGAAAGACTGGAACGAGTGGACCGAGCAAGCGAACCCACGTGCTTCGCTCCAGAGAAAAGTGGGCCTGGTTCCGGGCAGAGCGGTTGCCTCTGACAAGCCACCAGGGCCACCTGCCAAGGACCAAGAGCTGAGTCGCTGTCGGCCAAGGGACACCTGGGCTGGGCCTGGCTTCAGCCCCTCCTCAGCGCTCCGGCGCACGTCGCCCCACCGTCGGGGCTGCCCTTTCTGGGGCTGCGGGGCCCCAGGGCCCGATAAGCGCAACGCTAGGTGCTTCCTGCCCAGCCTCCTGCCCTCCCTCTGGCCAGCAGTGGCCACCAGATAACCCAAGGCCGCCCTTATCATCCTGCACCACTTCCTGGGTCCCCTGCATTTGCCGAGGCCTGCAGTGCCCTGAGCCAGGCGTCCCCAGCGAGCCTCAGTGGGAGCCGTGCCAGAACCAGGCCCCACTCCGAGGCCACGGGGCGGTGACGCCGGCGGCCAGACCGGGGCTCCCCCCGCCCTCACTGCAGCCGCAAGCAGTGTGAACACTGGGCCCCCAAGCCCCCACCCAGTGAGGACATCAGGGGCAGGCCCTGGGATACCCTCCTCCTGCCCTCTCAGCCTCAGGCATAGGGGCCGGGGGGGCCTCTGGGGCCCCAAAGTCACCCCGCAAACGATGAAGCTGTCCTTGCAGCTTCTGCTGTCCCCCCAAGAGCTGCTTCCTAGCCACCCTGAAACCAAACCACCCCACTTGGGTCCCAGAACTTCCCCTGAACGGGTGCTCAGGCTGTGCCCCCAGCCTCTGGTGCCCAGAATAATCCATCCAGGTCCTGCCTCCTGCTTGCCTGGACAGTGGGTTCCATGGGGTGCCCCTCCGTGGGCTCCCGGGGAGCTCCGAGGAGGGCAGCTCCCCCACGTCTGCATCACCCCAGTCCCAGCCCAGCATCTGTAGATGTCATGTGGAAGGGAAGAGGGGTCCAGGAGGTTGACCCCACCGAGGACGGAGATGGGCCTGGGGAGACCTGGCAGGGTCTGCAGACCCAGGCACCCGGGCTTTCCAGGCAGAGGCCGTGGGGGCAGTCAGGCACCAAGGGTTCCCCAACACCCGCGCAACCCCACTGCCCGGAAGCCACCACTATGGGCTACGCTGAGCCACCCTGCCCCGGCCTTCATCTGCTCCCAAAGGTAACAAACCTGCCCCTCGACAACGGCATCCCTGACGTGAAGACCCGGGCCACCTACAGGACGGGGCTCCCGAGGCCTCCAGTCCGAGCCGGGACAGGTTGGTATCCACTGCCCTCGGGTGTCAATGTTCAGAGAAGCCATTTAACTGACCCACAGGGAGCTCGCTCCCACCTGCAGTCTAGGATCGCCCCCGAGCTGCGCCCCCCTCACCCTCCCCTCCTCCCCACGGCCCGGCAGACCTTTAGCCGGCTGCTCTGCTCCTGGCAGGACATCATGGCCCTCCAGCCCACGCCGGCACAGGTTGAATTTCATGGCCCAGTGGAATTCCCCGGGCAGGGCAGCCTTGGCATCCTCCCTGGCCTCGACGCTCGAGGCCCGGACCCAGCTCTTCCGCCCGTCTGCTGTCCTGAAGGGCCGCGGCAAGTCTGTTAAGTCATCTTGAGAACCTTCCTGCAGAAGGCAGCTCCCCTGGCTGGGCCAAGAGCACTTGCCTACCGGGTGCCACCGCCACCCCATTGCCCGCAGGCACCACCTAACAGCCACTGGGGGCTGGGCCAGGGGAGCATGAGGGAGCCCGCACCCCGGGCTGGACAGGGGTCAGGCCTGGAAGAACACCTAAACCCCCGAGGACCAGGTAGAGCAGGGGTCAGGGGCCTGAGGCCCCAGTCGCCTCACAGCAGAGGGGAGAGAAGCAGGAGACCCAGGACCAGGTGCCTGCTCCTCCTCAGGAAAGAGCCCAAGGGGTGACAGGGACAAGTCCAGGCTTGGATCTGCCACAAGACACCCAAGGAAAGGCAGGAGGCCTACTGGGGATGAGGGAGTACCAGGGTCCCAGACTGGGTCACCCCACCCCACCCCCGCGCCAGGGAACAGGCTTTCCTGCCTCCCTCTGCCCGCCCGGGAGTTTGCAAGGCCCTAAGTGCCGGCTCCCAGAACCGCCTCCCAGAATCTCCCAGGACCTGTTCCCTTGGCCTCTCCGGCTTCGCACGTCCTGTCCCAGGGCTCAGGCCTGCGGCCGCACCCCCTGCCCCTGCCCCACTCCTCTGCTCAACCGTCACTGCTTCTGGGACACATAGTCCTGGAGGCTCTAGATCAAGATGGGAAGCTGGTCCTCCCCGACCTCGGTGGCTGCGCAGTGAGCTGAGGCCTGGCTCTGGGCAGGGGGGGGGGCATGACCTCCAAGCCCTCGCCGAGAGGGGCAGGTCGCGGGGAGCTGAGCTCAGCCCGTCCCCCAGGAGAGCTGCAGCGGGGCCCGCCTGCCCGACCCGGCCCGGCCCGGCCCGCGCGCGACGCCCGCAACACACGAAGCAGAGTTTCTCCTGTACAGAGATCGATATATGTAAAGTGCTGGGTACAACGCTCTGAAAAATAGTATTTCCCAAAAATCCACCGCCCGGGGAGCGCCCGAGGTCTAGCCCTTGCCCGTGAGGTCCAGCGGCTGCAGGAAGGGCGGCAGCGGCAGCTCGTCCAGGGCCTCGGGGAAGCGGCCCGGCGAGATGGCGGTGACCAGCACCTGCATGGCGCGCACGAAGAGCGAGGGCGGCGCCAGGCCCGCCAGCCACTGGAACTTGTCCTCGCCCAGCAGCCGCTGCCAGCGCGGCCGGTCGCCCAGCAGCTCTCGGCGGGCGGGGCCGGCGGCGGCGTTGGCGGCGGGCGCGTACAGCGCCAGCAGGTCGAGCAGCAGCAGGCGGCGCTGGCGGGGCTCCCCGGGCGCGGCGGGCGTCCCGGCGGTGGCGGTGGCGGCGGCGGCGGCGGTGCTGGCGGCGGCGCTGGCGGCTCCCGCGTCGCGGCCCAGGTGGCGCAGCAGCAGCTCCAGGGGCGTCAGGCCGCCGCCGTCGCGCAGGCCCGGGGACGCGCCGTGGCCGAGCAGCAGGAAGAGGCACTCGGGGCGCGCCAGCTCGCAGGCCACGTGCAGCGCCGTGCCGCCGCCCTCCACGCGGGTGCAGCCGCGCCGGTCGAGCAGGCGCGCGCGCTCGTCGGGCGGGAAGTCGCGCACGGTGCGCAGGATGCGGCGCAGGATGCCCACGCGGTTGTAGCGCACGGCCAGCGCCACGTGCGGCCCGGGCGCCGCGCAGCAGCGGAAGCCGGCGCTGGGCGGCGCGAGCGCGCGGCGCGGGAACGTGGCCAGCAGGTAGTGCGCGTAGGCCCGGTGGTCGTGCACCAGCGCGTAGAGCAGCGCCTCGGACGGCGAGTAGGCGGCGGCGCGGCCGCGCTCGTCCCAGTGGAAGGCCTCGCTGGCGCGCATGTCCTCCAGGAACCACACGGGCAGCAGGTCGCGAACCGCCTGGTAGAAGGCGAACGACGACTTGCGGCACTGCTTCTGCGCTCGGGAGCGCGCCGCGCCCGCGCCCTCGGGCCCGCCGTCCGCGCTGCCCCCGGGCCGCCGCGCGTCCCACGGCATGCTGGTGGCGGCACCTCCGGGGCTCACGGCATGGGCCACCTGCGGGGAGGGGATCTCCGTGAGGCTCCGTGAGGCTCCGCCGCCCAGGCCCCTCCAGCCACTCGTAGGCCCCAACCACCCCCCACACCCTTGATCGAGCTGCACCTGACCTCCCTCCCTTTCTGCGTCTTGTCCTCGGGCGCCTCTGCTAGAGGTGCCCTTCCCTGCCCCCTACCCTCACAGGCCCACCCACACTCAAAGCCACGCTGAAAACCGACCTGCCCCGCCGCCTCCAGCGCAGGGGCCAGCGGACCAGGTACATCCAACCCCAAACAGAAGAGACGACGTAAAGGGGTAGAGTGTTGTGATCCACCTCCCCAGCTGGGCCAAGCCCCGCCTAACCATGACCCTATCCCTCTGCCCCTGACCGCAGATGGGGGCTCCTAGAGCCCCCCTCCCCCCCCCATGCCAGGCACGGGGCAGAGGTCTGGGCCCAGACCTACCTGGTTCCCGCACTCCAATCACAGGACGTGAGTGTATCACTCTCCTTCTCTGAGCCTCAACTTCCTCATCTGTAAGAAAGGGGATGGGGGGGACGCGCGCTGTGAGCCCCACAGGGTGAGCCGGGGTGGAGGGGGCAGGAGAACAAAATCGACATAGAGCCCTGCGCACAGCTCTGACAGCAAATCCCCTCCAGGTCCGCCGCTCCTCCTGATCCTCCCACTACCAGACGCAGCGGGTTCGGCCATCCCATTTCCCAGCCAGGGGCGAAAGCCGGGCCAAGGTCAGTCAGCAGGTCGTGGTACGGCCGGGCCCAGAACCCAGATCTCATCCCTCCCACTTTGGGCTCATTCCAGAAACGGGGAGACCCCCGGGCCACAGGGGGCCCAGCTTGATCCCTGCCTGACCTTGCCCTCTGAGCTCCCGGCCCCAACCTGAACCCTGGCCTCTGACCCCTGACCCTGGCCCCAGCTCCCCCACGGCCTTCCGTCAAGGGTAAGCCCTTGGTCACAAGGGGCCTGGGTCGGCGGACAGGCCGCGTCCGCACACGCCGGGTAACCAAGTTACGGAGCGGGGCACGGTGCTCCTCGGGGAGCTCCTCGGTGCTGGTCGCCGTGCCCGGGGCAGCCCCCCAAGCCTGGACTGCGCGCCCCAGGTGCACGCACCCCGTGTGGATACCCGTGGGGCGCCAGCGGGTTACGTAAAGTTGGGCCGCCCCACGTCACTGGGCAGCGAGTCTCGGCCGCGGCTCGGTGAATGGGGGGGTTGGGCCACCGAGGGCCGGGCAGCGCGCCCGGGACGCCCGCCGGCGCCTCCCAGCCCCTCCCGCCGGCCGCGGGTCGCGGGGGGCGAGGCCGGGGCGTCCGCCTGACGGTCGCCAGCGCGGCGAGGCTGCACCTGCGTGCGCTCGTGCCCCGGGCCCGAGGGGGCGGCGGCCAGGGGAGGCCGCGGGGGCTGCGCCGGGCGGGCCGGGGCGGGGGCGGGGGCGGGGGCCGGGGGCTCACCGTGGGGGCGGCGGGGCCGCAGCGCGCTCCTCCCGCTCCTCCCCGCGGCAGGCGCACGGAAGGGGCCCAGACAGGCGGGCCGGAGGGAGCCGCCGCCGCCCGCGCCCGCCGCAGCCGCGCTCTGAGCCGCCGCGGCCCGAGAGCTGGGCGGCGGCGCCGGCGGCGGGCGGGCGGGCGGCGGGCGGCGCAGTGCGGCCCCGGCCCGGCAGGACCGCGGGACCGTCCGCCGCCGCCATTGGCCCGCGCCGCTGGCCCCGGGCCGCGCTCATTGGCCGCCACGCTGCACCATTGTTACGTCACCGGCCGGGGGGCGGGGCGCCCGGCGGGACCCGCGGAAAAGTTGGGAGAAACTTGAGGGCCCGCGGGGGGCGGGGCTCCCGGAAACCCGAGCCGCGGGCGCGGAGGGGGCTCGGGCGGCGGGGTCCCGGGAGCACGGCTGGGGCCCGCGCTGCGTGCGAGTCTGGGCGCGCGCCGGGCGCCCCGGTCCCGCGGACAGCGCCCGCCCCCTCGCCCCAGGAGTTTCTCCACCTCCCCTTCGCCCTGACCCTCTGACCTTGAGACCTCGGCCGCGGTCGCCCCGGCTGCACAGGGAGGGGACAAGAGGCGGAGCTGTGGTCCCTGAGGTCCCGATGGCGTCCTGCCCGGCCGGGGTCGGGGCCCCGGGAGACCCCCCTTCTAGGCTGACCACCGCCGGGGCCCCGGGAGCCCCCCCCAGGCTGAGTTCCCAGGGAACCGGTGGATGGGCGCGCACAGCCATGAGCACGTGCTGTGATTTCACTTCCTTTTCACCGCTGCTCACGCGGTAGGAATTCTGGCCCCCAATTCAAAGGTTAGGAAACTGAGGCTCATGGGGAGGTGGCCTCCAAGTGAGGAGCAGCCAGAAGGGAAACCGGGAGTTTCCCCTACTTTTCTGCAGACATTTGTGGCGGATTGGGCCCCAGCTACTCCAGACTCTCCACAAAGGGTCCAAGATTTGGGGGACCACCATCAAGGCCACGCTGAGACCGGACCAGATACGCCACCCGAAGCAATGCCCCACCTAGGCTGGTGCGGTCTCGCTGGCCTCAGGGGGTCCGTGGTGACCACCAGATTTAAAGAAACTAGGTCATGGGCCTGGGGGTCTGGGATCCACCTGCCTCACCTCAGCTTTCCCGTGCCGACCCCTCTGGGCCCCCGTTGCCCTGCATTTTTCCTCGCTTTCCCATTCTGGGCTCTCCAAGTAGGATGAGGGGGGTGGCAAGCTGAATGGAGATTCTGGGGTTCACTTTTGACCACTTGGAGCCCCCAGGCCCTGGGAGACATCCTAGGGAAGTGGCACCCCAGCCGAACCACCTGGGACTCCAGGCGCGAGCCTCCTTGCTTCCTCCTTCTCATTCTTCCGGGGCTGGGGTTCCATCTCCATGGCCACCAATGGAATGAGGATGTGGGCGCACCGGTTGGGGGTGCCAGGGTGTGCAGCTGGCCTCGGGGCAGGTCTCCACCTCTCCCGGCCCTCCTCACTGGGGTTCCTAAAGGAATATTTCTAAAAGTCACGTCTGACCCCATTTCTCCACCACTTAGAAGTTTCCTGTGCACGTGGATTAGCCAGAAAGACCAGGTGGGGCAGAGACCCGGCATTCCGGGCTGGGCAACAGCTGGCGCAAAGGTCTGGGCGTGGCCAGCGCGCGGGCCTCGGAGGTCACCTGGGGCGGCCGGGCCTCGAGGGCTGAGGCAAGGAGCTGGGCTTTGTCCTGAGGCTCTGGAAGTGGAGGCGGAAGGGTTTGGAAGTGCGTTGGTTAGTGAAGTATTTCAGGCGTACAAAAGTAATCGTGATGAACGCCTGGGGCCAGGGGCCAGTTTAAGAAGTAACAGGCGGATAAATCTGAAGGCCCCTGTGACTGCCCTGCCCCAGCCCAGCCCTGGGTCTTGCCCACGGTGGCGGCTGACATTGCGACACTGTCTGGCTGTCAGGCACCTGCAGCTTGCTCTCTCCCCCAAGGTTATTTTTAGACTCCCCCTCAGGGGTACATGCCGCTCTGGGTCACTCTGGGGCACTGAAGCATCTTCTGGTGGTGGGAGCTGCACCCCCGTGTCTGGGCACACACGTGGTCTCCCCGCACTGCTGGCTTTGAACATCCTACCCGTGCCTACCTGGGGGCCATGCTGGGGCCCAGACCCAGGGAAGGTGTAACCCTCCACAGCTGCTTCTTATGGCAGACTGCTTCAGGCACAGTGTGAACAGGGTGCAAAGGACCAGATTCCCTCAGGAAGGGAAGATGGACTTGGAGGGGGGGAAGGGTGGCTGGGGCAGGGAGGGAGGGGGCAGAGGATGGAGAGACCGAAGAGGCCTGGGGTGGGGGGACTGCCCTGTCCCAGATGCCCTCACGGGCAGGGAGTGCCAACCAGCACAATCTTCTTGGTGTGAGGTTTGACTTTTGACCCTGTCATGTTCCCTCTGAAACCCAACCCAAAACCCACTCCTCTCTCCCGGGAGAGCTTTTCCTAGAAGGCATCTGGGTGTGCCCGGGTAGGGAGGTAGAGTCAGGCAGGGCCTTGGAGCATGGGGCAGGGTGTGTGACACAGGTAGAGGGAGGGGGTTAGGGAGCTTCCTGGGGGAGGAGGCTGGTGCCAGACATGCTGGGTTCTAATCAGCTACTCACCAGCTGTGGGACCTAGGCTGAGGAACTCCACCTCAGACCTGTCTGAGCTCCAGGTCTCTTATCTGTGAAGTGAATCAGGTGGACTTTCAGATCTGAAAAGGAAAGTGTTCCAGCGGGCAGGATTCCGAGGCCAGTATGGGAAACGGCCGGGACCAGGAAAGAGGATGGGGACATCCTACCCCCTGCCCCCAGGTCACCTGGGCCCTGTACTTCACCAGGCTGTGCTGGGCCAACGCCCACCTGCCGTCCAAGGGCCTGTTCCATGGGTGCTCTCTCCTCCTCCTCCGGCTTCTCCCCTGGATGGCTGGGCTTGTCCCCACCTGCACTTGGGTTCAAGCTCTCCCACACAACTCTCCTTGCCATCCAACCGGTCTTTCAGGGCTCAGCCTCAGATGCCAATATGGACCAAAGACGAGATAAAACCAAGTGAGGCCGAGTGATATCCTGGGAACCAAAGAGCCCAACATGCACAGTGCAGGAGCCACACTCAGAATGTGTAAACATCTCCCGCAAGCCGGTGAGAAGGATTAGCCCAGGAGGAAAATGGGCGAGGGGTATGAACAGGCAATTACACGATAGCCAATAACCACACGGAGCTTTGTAAGAAATCAGCAAACGTACCAACCTCTTTGATTGCCTACTGGCAAAGCCTGAGGCGGCAGTGACAGCCTGTGCTGGCAAGAGTAGGAATCAGGCCCTCACTCCCAGGCAGAGCTGGGCAGGGCACCTCCGAGGGCCCCACCGGCAGGGGCAATGCTATGCACTTGGGGCCAGCAATTGGGGGGTAGGTATCTCATCCCAGATAAGTACTTGGCTGCATGCCAACAAGCTCCACGTACAATAATCACTACTGTGGGTTTTGTTCACGTGCTTCTTTAAAGTTTTATGAAAGAATTTAGCTTTAATTTCGTATTTTATGTCTATTTCAGAGTTAAACCTTGGAAGAGAATACAAGTCAGGGACACCTGGGTGGCTCAGGGGTTGAGTGTCTGCCATGGCCCAGGGCGTGATCCTAGAGACCTAGGATCGAGTCCCACATCGGGCTCCCTGCATGGAGCCTGCTTCTCCCTCTCTCTGTCTCTCAGAAATAAATAAAATAATTTTTAAAAAAGAATACAAGTGAGTACAAGTAACAAGGAGGTGGGGCGCCCACTGCGTTTATAACAACAAGAACCTGGAAACCATCTAGGTAACTGTCCCAAGTGGAACGGCTAAAATAATCACGATTTACCCTTCCCAGCTCTGGCTTTTGCCGCACAGCAGCTGGTCCCTGCACCCCTGCTGGGCTCGTGGAGAGGGCTGTGTGGGCCTGAAGCCTAGAGACCAACTAACTCCCTCATATCCTTGAAACTTCACTATTCCCCCTCCACCCACAGTGAGACAGTTCCCATGGCATCTCTGGGTCCTTGTAGGATCTCTGGATTGGGCCGTGCTGGATCTTGGGATTTCTCATTAAATGACATGGTAAATTCTCTTTTTGGCATAGGCCAGTTGGAGTAGTTAAGGTACCTTTCTTTTGTTGTTGTTGGTTTATCAGTACTCTCTACCTCCAACGTGGGGCTTGAACTCATGACCCTGAGGTCAAGAGTTACATGCTCCACCGACTGAGCCAGCCAGGCACCCCAAGGTAAGTTTTTAAAGAGGTAGTTTCCATTGGCAAAATGCTGTCTCACAGCCATCATATCATTGACTTGCCCGGTAAGGTAGGTTGGGTTGTCAGCTCACGTTACAGGTAGAGAATCTGAGGCTCTGCCCACAGAGGTGGAACCAATAAGCTTCATCTTGTCCCAGAAAGGGAAGGCTTTGGTTTCCTGAGTTCCAAGCCCCCTCGGGCTTTCAGACTCCTTTATGAGAGCTGATGAAAGCTGTGGCCCCTCCTCCTAGAAGTCTCTCCCACTCACAGAAGGGAGGCCTCAGATGCAGGTTGGAGGTGGCAAGTCAGGGCCCCCCAGCCCTGGCCGGGTGAGCCGGGCAGTCAGCCAGCTCTTCTAAGCAGCTCCACTCATTAATTTATCCAGCAAATGGGCCCTTAGAGCCTGTTCTGAGGACCAGAGGTGAGTGAGCAGGAGAAGCTTCTGGAAGGACGAGGTTACCTGAGGTGAGGAGGGCTCAGCAGCCCCTTGCATCATCAATCAAGGCCCTTAGGCTCTGTGTTCAAACACTCTGACCCCCACCAGGCTGCACAGCTCCAACCCACCTCCCAGGCCCAGGCTGACCCCCCACCCCCATTCTCAAGGCTTCCTTTTCAGCTCCAGCCTCCTCCAGCTGAGAGGGAGGGATCCTGTCAAAGCCATGTCAGTTGGGGCCCTCTTCAGCTCAGAGCCTCTCAACTTAAAGACGCCTCATCTCAGGCTAAAACCCCTATTCTGCCTCAAGGCCAGAGCCCCTCACATTCCACCGGGAGCCTTGGCCATCAGTGCTCAGGGCCCCGGGGCCCTTGCTCCTGCCGTTCTCTCTGACCTGGACGGCCAGTCCCCAGAAGTCTGCATGGCCTCATTTCAGGAGCACCCTACCTCGCTGACCTGCACGCCTGGGGGTTTCTCCTCCATCAGACCATGGGGAGGGGCCCACTTGCCCCTGCAGGAGGATGCTAGGTGCCCCATAAATGCTGATGACTAAGTGGAAAGGGAGTTAGGTGGGTGGGTGTGGTCAGAGCACCCCGGGGGGGGGGGGGGAGCCCAGCAGGCCTGGTTAGCTGTGGGGAGCGTGGGCAGGTCCTGATGCCTGAGGTGCCCACTCCTGAGGGCTGGGAGCAGGAAGGACGTGATTCATCGGGCTGCCCCAGAGTCCTCGCCCCTAGGAAGCCCTACAACAGGCAGATTTCAGCAGAGGCCCAGCCCGAGTGCAGACTGACGGACACAGACCTGGTTCCTCAGGTGGAGGCCAGCTCCGGCTGCCCTGGGCCGGGCAGGAGGGGGGCTGGCAAGCTCAAAGGCCGTGGGCAAGGCTGAAGGCTGAGCTTGCCCCCTCCCCACCAGCACCAAGGGCACAGTACAGCCGCCTGGCTGTGTGACCTTGAGCGTGTCTGTGCCCCCTAAGGCCAAGAGGTATCTGGCTAGGCCGCTGGGCTACGGCAGCACACCGACGCTGGGGCCGAACACCCAGAGCCAAGGGGACAAGCACAGCCAAGGTGGGCCCGGCCAAGGACAGCCCCCCATTGTCTGAGCCTCCTGCCTTGTATTCCACTAACCCATCATGGGTAAAGAGTTGTGGCTTGCAGTGAAGTGAGGCAGGAGGGGCCACTGAGGTCGGAGGGCCAGGCCTGGCCCAGGTCACACAGCTCTCTCTTGTAACAGTGGCTCCTGTGTGCCCCTGAGCGTGGGGACACTCCCCCTCTCAAGGCCCCCCAGCCGTGGGAGCCCGGATCCCTGCGTCCAGAGAAACCCCGCTCTGCTCTCCCGGTGGTGACTCAAGGGGAAACAAGGTCGGGGAGGCGGCACCACTCGGCAAGGGGCCAAAGCTGGGGTCTGGAGGGACGGTGGGTGACGTTGACTCGGTTTGACGCACCATCGGGCGCAGGGCTTGGAAAGTTGGGTCCCTTTGCCGGACCCCGCCCCGCGGCCCTGGGAAGGGGCCCAGGCACAGCGGGAGCCCGTGTGTGGCTCGGCCTCAGTTTCCCGTGGGCGCCGGGGCGAGCCTGCAGGCGCGCGGTCCCGCCCCACCAGCCCAGCGCGGGCCGACACCGTCCCCTGGCGGCCGCGCGCGACTTCGCAGCCTGCGGCGGGGCCCGGCCCGGCGAGGGTGCGGGGCCAGGTGGGCGGGGGCAAGGACCTCGGAGCGCCCTCACCCGGCGGCGGGGCCCGCGCGCTTGGGTCTCCGCAGGCCTCCGGGGCCCCGTCTTCGCTGGGAAACCGCCGCGATCCCGCCCACTGCGCGCCTGCGGCTCGGAACCCGCCGGCCCGTGCTCTCCGGCCCCGCCCCCTCCGCCCGCCCCGCCCACCGGCTGCCCCGACCAGCCAATCGGAAGTCTCGGGGCGCGGAGGGCGGGGCGGATTGTCCGGCGGGGCGGGGCGAGAAGCCGGCTGGGGGCGGGGCCTCCTCTCCCCGCGCCTCCCCCGCCCGGGAGCCCTCGGACCTCGGGGGCCACAGCGTGGGGAGGGCGGCTCTCCCGGAGCGGAAGAAGCCGAGGGCGCTTCAGTTTCCGGGTGTGGGAGGTGGGGCCGAGGGTTGCCCCCTGCCCCCACAGGAGACGGCTCGAGGCCGCCCGACCCGCCTCTGCACCCCTGCAGGCTGCAGGGGCCTCTGCACCCCGGGCCAGCCCTTGGCACAGCCTCCTGCCCCGCAGCCAGCACACCTTCGCACTAGCTGTTCCCTCCCGCTGGCGTGTCGCCCACCCGCCGGCGGCCTCAATGCGTCCTCCAGCGGCTTCCCTGATTCTGGCCACTGTCTCTTTTCCTCCGCCTCTCCAGGTGCACTTTTTAAAATATATATATATATATTTTATTTATTTATGCATGAGAAATACAGAGAGGCAGAGACACAGGCAGAGGGAGAAGCAGGCTGCCTGCGGGGGGACCGATGTGGGACTCGATCCCAGGATCCGGGGATCTCCACCTGGGCTGAAAGCAGATGCTCAACCACTGGAGCCACCCAGGAGTCCCCGCAGGTGCACTTTTATGAGCCTCTCGAGTGCCAGCCTGGCCGAGGGTGCCAGATGCAGACACCGAGCCCAGGGTGGTCTGAGGAACGAGCTGGTCACAAGCACACAGCTGGGAAGTGGCTCCCAGGAACCCAGCCATCGGTTGTGACCTGCTGCTGGGCCACCTCTCGTGTTAACTATGTCCCAAGCCTGTCCTCTGCCCCCACACACCTGGGGGAGCCGGCTGAGGGTATAGTGCTAATGGGATGGGAAGATCAGGGGTCCCCAGAAAGCCTTCCCTTCCTCTGCCTACCTTGCCCAATGGGGAGCTATGGTCCTTGAGGGTGGGGAGGACCTTACCAAGTGTCATCAAAGTCCTAGGCTCTTCTTGATGCCCACCGTGGAGGGAACACAGGACTGGACTGGTGAGGAGACAGGTCAGTAAGGCCTGGGAGGGCCTTCCTGGGCTCAGGAAGGGGGGTGATTGGGAGAATTGCCCACCTTCAAGAGTGATGGCC